CGAGCTGTGCTGCCGCCCTGACTCATGATTGCCAAGCACGGAGACTAGCATGATTGCAGCCCCGTGTCGTCAAGGGGGCAGAGCGCGCGCCTCCACACCGTCATCTCCCACCTCGCGCCACCACCGCCTCATCACGGTCACAGCGTCAAGCCAGCACAACCTCGTCTCCTCCGTGCATTGTGCGAACCACCGTTGTCAAGCCCTTCAATGAGCATGACAGTTTGCCAAACCTCTCTGTTTTCCAAGATGTGTTCGCGACTTAATTGCCTGTGACCTGGCTTTCGAGCCACGGGAGCGCCCCGGTGACAAGCTCGCCGCCGTCGTGCGCCCTTGCCTTGTGCCTCTAGCTTGCAGGGGGGTACAGTGCCCTGGTGGTCGTGTTGTGCCGTGTGCTCGCTGGGCTGCTCCCTGCTCAGCGCAGATGTGCGTGCTGACAGCTCGCTAGGCAGTTTGAGCTCTAGCGAGCCTGGTGCCCAATGCAGAAGTGGCGGTGCCTGATGCGGATTAGTTCATCATTGTTATCTCATTCCCTACAGTCACACGTACGGGTTGCGACATCAACCAACTCATGGTTGCGACAATTCTTGCATCATCACGACCAACACTACGAATTACAAGGCTCAATGCCACAACACTAAAATCACCGATCATTCACTTCCTAGACATCGACCTTGTTATGTCGAACGCCCAATTGTGCCAGCTGTCTTCACATTAACGCTGATACTATGTTCGGCAGGACCAGCTGATTCTAGTGCGTTCATCGTGTTCTCGTTTTTGCATGCCAGAAGGTCTCATGTGCGACAATAGTCGAGAGTTCACAAGTGTTTTCATCACAATGGCCGTCATGGTCACCTGGCAGTCCCGTACTCCAAGCTTCTAGGGCTCTACCAGGCTACAACACAGATTCGCCAACTAATAGCGTCTGTGGAACCTGCAGCAATTCAGTGATCGCAGTGAACACGGTGATAGCACTCGATTTGCCATCAGCGAACTAAATTCCTGATGCCTCATATCCTTAGAATGGACTCTATCTGGTGCATGACTGGGGAGACTAAGATTCAGATCACCAGTGCTACCGCTGCTGAAAGCCACACTATATTCGTGCAGGATGCCACACCATGCGTTGGCCAAATAGATGTGACTTGGGGAGTTTCTCAGTCTAACATGGGTATATATTGAGCAGAAGTGAAGACCGGTTGAGATAAATAGGAGACCATGGTCTCACCCATGTGGACATTTATTTGCTGCTAAGCTTACTACACCGACTGCATCTGTGCTAGCAATTATATCTTTTTTCCGCATAATGAAGCTTTCAGTAGTTTTTTTTTAAAGAAGATTACATCGAGATGATAAAAATACCGGCAACAATCTCTGCTTAACACGAAGCACACATCCAAATTAAAAAATGGTGAACACACACATTCTTTAGAAATAGACTTCCGGCGACCTTGTATCGTCTCAATGTAATGTGATTAATATTTAAAAAATTCTAAATATGGTCCACTACTGCTACAAAGCCTAAATATTGTTTTATACCAATAACATTCGCACAAAGCCTAAATATGGTCCACTACTGCTACCAAAACTGAATAATGTTGTGTGCTTCTTGATAAGATCTGACTACAGTGCCCAAGTATCACTAGAATTTCATATATAAGAAATATATGCATTGGGAACTTAAAGTTCATTGCATTGCACGATCAGAGAGAACAATGATTAGCATAGGACATGATAGCACAGAGAGGTAAGTTTATTTGGCCCATTCATCAAATTTCTGCCCTGTCGCTTTTACCGGAGCAATAATTGCCAGTTTGGGGACGGTTCTGAAGAGTTTCCAACTTATAAATTATAATCGAATTCAGGAAGGAAGAAACCTAGCTAGCTCGTTTTAATTTCTTGCCAAAGCGAACATTGCCGGTCTTGATTTTGGGAGATTGAGTAAAGGACACTTCGCTGAAATGTTGGTGCAAATCATACAACCAAGATTAGCCATACAATTGGATCTATATACGCCACATGGTGTCCCTATTACACACTTCCTTCTGTTGAGAACGAATCTGCTGATGCCTCGGCCCTTCTGGTCTGGTCGTGCAGTTTTGTCTCCTCCCTGGCCGGAGCAGGCCCATGCACGCGTCCTGCAGACTTGTCTCGTCCCAGCTGTTCAAGTGTTAACACTGGCGAGGCGCACACGGGTTCCAGCCTTGATCCGATGGAGAACAAGAAATCCCAAACCACAATACTTTGTGTGCACCCATCCTATATGAACCATGCAAATCTGATTTAGTATTCGTGCTCAACAAAATCAGCTTGCTCCAAAATTCGTGCTGCTTCAGGGATTCCATGGGGAGTTGAACAGCACTGACCTTAACGCAATGAGGACAACAAGGTAGAGCACCGGGGCACATACAGCTCTGGCAGAAATGGTTTAAAAGGAGCACCCCATCCACCGCGCATGCCTCAGCCATCATGTCAACCTGTGTGGCAGCCAACATGTCCCTAACCTTGCCTTGTCCGTAGATGGCACCGACACTATGGATGATTGAATTGAGGAAGCATAGTGGCTGCCAACATGTCCCTAGCAAGAGAAATCAATTGCTAGCTTCATGGAATACCATCTATGCAAAATGTACTGGCAGAATAGAGAGGACAGATGAGCGATTGCACCCTATCGAACAAGGCACACCTATTTCCAGATGCTTCCCATACTTAGAATGGACACTACATGCACGACCAGAGAGTGCGATGCTAAGAGATATCTGAACCACAAACATGCATGCTAGGAATGGTAGATAAGAATCCATGGAGCGAACATGATAGGAACATAGTGGTTGTGGATGACAATTTCATTTATCTAACAATGACATATATGGAAAACTATATGGAGACCCACGAATATTGCACATTTATGTGCTAATAAATTCTGGTGGTACACTATGAAGTTATATTGGTTGTTTCAATATTATTGTCACTTGATCTCATATCTCCTGATATATTTATTACTAAATGCATCATACAATTAAGTTTCCAACAACTAGATCTTTTGTGGAAGCCAAGGTGTAGATTTTAGTTTATGTAGAAATAATCAAACTGAGACTTCACCATTTACATAAATGGTCCTTTTAAAACAAGCACCTCTAAAAATTGATTTTCAGATATGGATGGTTGCATAGCCCACCCTATTTTGGATCGGATGTCCAAAGCCCATTGAAGCACAACACAAGAAGGCAAGCGCATGGCGCGGAGGAGATGCGCCAGCGGCCACGTGGGCATGGGGGAGCAGGGCCAGCCGACGGGCGCATGGCACGGAGGAGATGCGCTAGTGGCCGCGTGGGTGTTGGGGACCAGGCCCGACAGAGCAGGGTCAGCTGGCAAACGCATGGCGCGGAGGAGATGCGCCAGCGGCAGCGTGGGAGTTGGGAGCTGGGCCGACTGAGCAGGGGCTGCCGGCATGCACATGGCGCGGAGGAGATGCTCCAGCGGCTGCACGGGCATAGGGATGCAGGGCCGACCGGCGGGCGCACGACACGGAGGAGATGCTCCAGCGGCCGCATGGGTGTGGGGGAGTAGGGCCGCCCGGCGGCCGCAAGGTGCGAAGGAGATGCGCCCTCGGCCACGTGGGCGTGGGGGAGCATGGCCGATGGAGCAGGGCTAGCCGCACGGGGACGAGAAGGGGCAGCCGCGCGGGGACGAGTAGAGGATGACCCATGGAAGAAAAAAGGGATGAGAGGATGTTGTATGTGCAGTACCCACGTATCATGAATCTTAACCTACATCCTGTTTATCCCAACGAAACAGAAAACATGGGAGAACCCCGTCCCATAACCAAATACGAGATGGGTTCAACCCCCACTTCTCCATCTATTGCCACCCCTAGTTTGCCCTCGACAACCCTTTCTACCTATAGCAACCACCACACTTCTCTCCCTAAGCATTGATGCCACCCCACCTTGGCCCCTTCTGCATTGGATCCGAGGTCACCCACCCTAGTCACTTCTCCGCTGAGTTCGAGGTTGCCCACCCTAGTCCATTCTACGTTCAATTCAAGCTGTGGTTGGGTGGGATCTGAGGTGGGCCATTGGGATCCGGAGCGGCCTGGATTTGGGTGGAGCGGCGGTCAATTAGCAGCTAATTGCCTCCACACCTGTGGTGGCACCAACGACCTCCACAGGGGCGGGGGCGAGTGTGCCATTAAGATCTGGAGCGGTCGAACACCGTGTCGCGTCGCATGAGTTTGTCAACCAAGTCAGTGCAGACCAAACCTCCAACCAACTTATTCATGGTTCATTCATTCAATCTGATTTGGTGAATGCTGCACCGGTGCATACAGACATCGATGGGGTATCGAACCCTACAGAAAGGACATGTGTAAGATAGAGTGGCAGAGATAGGAGGAGATGAAGACTAAGGAAGCGCTCAGCTTGTTGGAGCATAGAGGCGGAGGCAGACACTGCTAGAGAAGTGCGTACAGGGTGGATCCTACTGGCGGTGCTGATTTCTTTTCCATTTTTACATAGGCGGACACTCATCCCACCTCTTAAAATAGCAATTAAAAGAGATCATGGCCTTGGCGCCTCTGTATATAGTTTTTTACCATCTATGGAAATCCTTCCGCACAAAATCCATGTTGTAGTAGTGATAGCACAATGCCTCTGCTAGACAAAAATAAAGAAACCTTCCACGCTGAGAGAATTATGCTTATATTGGAATAATTCTGCTTATATTGGAATACATTACACGGATTCAATGCAAGAATGATCTATTTATTTCGTTGTTTTCACATCAAACATGCATAACACTTGATGGAGGCAGGCTACTAATAACCAGAAGTACACAATGGCGCCACCTGAATTTATTTATTCATTTTATTCATTTTACTACTCGGTAGCTTTCGTCAGCAACATCTCATGTTTACATAAAGCTTTGCTCCGGTTAGCACTCGATCAATTACAAATTCATAACAATCTCTAGTCCAGCCTTTCATTTTCACAAGAGACACATAATTAAGACCACCTTTTGCTCAGTAGTTTTGAAACGGTTAAGTCTGTGTTCCCGAATCCATCCATAACGGCCTTTGCAGAGTGAAATTCTGCTCTTGCAGTAAAGCTGGAAGACATGAATTTTATAAACAACAAGCATCGGGATCATGGTTGAGATAAGAAAGTTACATGGCAGACAAAGGCAGCTTACCTGCTTCGAACAACTATGCATGGCATGCCAATGCGTTCAGCTGCAAGGACACCAGATTGGCTGCCCGCAACAAGAACACAATTTTGCACGTCACACCCAACATATTCAGAACCAGCTCGGAGAGCTGCTATTACCTTTTCTGAGCTGATAACGGTGACAAGGTCAAAATTAGACAATATTCTTCTAAGGACGTATGGAAATTATGCACAATCAGTGTTAGGAACAACCTTTCGGATGCTGTGATGTCAACACTGAGTTTTAGGATTGATGCAACCTCTTCTGCAATCCTCTGCTTCTCTGCAGAAGCTGTGGGAACAGAATATTTGGAATTAACAACAAAATGACCATTGAACTCAAAGCAAAAACTACATAGAAGAGGCTGCAACCTTTTCAATCAGTAATACTCACCAGCCTTTTGGGCTTCCCTGACAAGTTGCTCATCCACACCAGATGTGACTCCTTTACCAAGAACAAGTTGCCCATAAAAGCTTTCTTCAACCTCAACTTTTCCAACAATCTTTATTTTCGAGATTCTTTCAGGGCCCAGCTTCATAGCTATAGATCTTGAGTCAAATAGAAAAGAAATGAGAACACAGTATTTTTTATACCATCTACCCTTAGGAACAATAGCAGTATGTTAAACTTGATAGAATAACATTGGCACATTAGTTTGAAACAAATTACAAGAGCAGATAGTAGTTACATTTAATATAAACCACACGTCCATACCTTGAAATCTTTTCTCCATTTCTCCCATATGCAGCCAATATGGCCAAAGGGACACCCTCACTAAGTGCATCATCAATGAACCTTTAATGATTTCATTCACAGAATCAGACACAAGGCCATTTAAAGTTCAGGACAGAGTCATTGATATCTTTATGGCAAGCAAAGAGTACAGAATAGAGACAAAAGCTGTACATATGAATACATAAGATCAAAACATAATTGGCTTATAATGATCTTGGATTGATGCAATCATGCAGAATTGATATCAGAACACACAAAAACTTTTATCGATATGCTGTGACTTCTGTTCCTTCATCCAGATAACAAAGACCCCACATAGCCACACATGCACAATCAGTAAAACGGCTCTGTAATTCTTGCAAATTTTTTTATGCATCGGAACAAAGAACTTTATACTGCATATTACAGGTATATTCAGATTATCCCGAGAACATCCTATACATAATAGCAAAAACTCTCCTGGATCATCTATATAGAGAGATTTTTTTTACATAAAGTGATAACAGGAGCTTGATATCTTACGTTTCAACTCCAGGCCGTAGTGGTAAGCTATCAGAAGCTGAGAACTCTTCCAAAGCTTTCAACTAGAACAAGAACGTTGCTCCAAGAAGTTAATATAAAGATATTTATAATGGAAACAGGTCAAAGAGAACCACTAGTCCATTTGGATGTAAATGGTAAATTCATGCTCTTGATTAGTCAAGTTGATTGAAATCATAGTCAAAATCAGAAATTAGTTCCAAGTACTAGTGGATAAAAGCAAGGAGAGAAACTAGTGCATACAACAGGAATTAAGTAAAGTAATCCAGCTTTCAGGTTACATCCAAAGGAATCATGCATGGACAATGTGCACGACATGAAAAATGAGAACCCTTGCTGAATACAATTGGCACATATAAAAGTTTGGTGAAATCCAGAGTCTGGTGATGATGAAAAGGATAAAAAACAGTACCAGACTACCAGCCTGGTAACAGCTCAAGCTAAATTGTGCCAAGGCCAGATATATTATATAGAAGCGAACTTATGTTTGATGAAATATGAGCTTACCTTCTCACGGAGAACACTTTTTATAAATGACCCTTTCTCACTAGTTGGCAATGATGTAGGCCAGCCAATCTGTGTTGAGTCAGAGGAAGGGGTGTGAAACTCCAAAAACGCAAACTACCTTCTACCAGCAGAGGAAATTAAGAGTCTCCACAAAGCTATGTTAACAAGTACCTAATCCATCCCAAATTGTAAGACGTTTGACTTTTTTGACACCAAGTTTGACCACTCGTCTTATTCAAAAATTTGTGTAAAATATCACTTCTTTCGTCGTGGTTTGGTTTATTAATAAAAATTCTTCAAGAATGACTTAAATTTGACTATATTTGCACAAATTTTTTGAATAACACGAGTGGTCAAACTTGGGGCCAAAAAAGTCAAACGTCTTACAATTTGGGATGGAGGGAGTAGTTTGTTACTCCCTCCGGTTCTCTAAAGCAAGTCGTTTTGGACATCGACACGGTCTTTAAGAAACGACTTTGACTGCAACTTTTTGCTATAAAATATTTATAAAATATAGTCAATATATACTTTTATGAAACTACATTTCGAGATGAATCTACTTACATCACTTTCATATTTTCAAACTCAACCCAAAAGAAGTTATTTGTAGTCAAAGTTTAAAATGTTTGACTTAAGACAACCTCAAAACGACTTGCTTTAGAGAACCTGAGGGAGTACGTAATAAAGCTGAATTGCGGTGTCATGTAACCAGATTTGCTAATTCTTCCTTGACCAAAGATGGCAATAGGGCAAGAAACAGAGCATACCCTGTCAAAGAATAATGCCAGCATCCTTTCCTCATCACCACGAGCTTTCCTAGAAAACAATGCAGCTTTAGAAAAATAACAAACATAAAGAGAAAAGGAAACACGCATCCAGTCCAGTTCATACTATTAGAGGTTAAACATAAGGGAACAAAATAGCAAGGGCCCATGTTTCAATCCATAATGCCAATTGTTAACTCAACGTTGAAGGAGAGGCAGGACATGTGATGCTCAAGTTTGATAAGGATAAAGAATTCAATATGCACCTCACCAAATCAGCATATATTGGCTCTGTCCAATTTGCACAATCTAGCCCGAGGCTTCGAAATGCTGGTGAAAAAACAAGTTAAAACGTATTAAAATCAACAGGCAATAACGATTCATACTTGTGCAGGTAGACTTGTACCTTGCTAGAGGCTAGACCCCTACATCGTTTATGTACAGAATTTACTATTTTACATTTCAACCTTGGCATGGTATCCATATTGGAGTAAAATACAGTGCAATAGAAATTGGTAAGGGGTGATGAACAGAAGTATATTTTTGTGTTTCGCACCTACATTGAAAGCTTAGCGAGAAATTGGTAAGGGTGACGAACAGAAGTATATTTCTGTGTTTCACCTACATTGAAAGCTTAGCGATTGCCAAAAGCGGTAGACATCCGCAAGAACTCTGGTGGAACAGAAACAAGAAATACTCAATCAGAAACAGAGATTGTTCTGGGATCAGCAAAGCAGAGGAGTCTGAGAGAAAGAAAACATGTCACTATTCTCTATTCCACAATAGTTCAGAAAAGCTTAGTAGTATTTGTTCAACAACGAAAGCATGGTGCGGCTATTACAAATAATCAATGGAGAAAGCGTTCGCAAAGAAATAATCAGATACTACCACATCGCTTGACTGTGGCACTTGTCTGCACCAATTATCTCTGAGCAAACCCAATTCCATCCACTTTCAACATTTGTCTGCATACAGCAGTTCCAATTTGAAATTTTCTAATCCCCGTGGCCAGATGGGCAGTAGCAGAAACAGCTCTACCTTCAACAACTAGCATACTAAAGAAGCAGAAAAGGAGCTCCTTTTGGGATAAGACAATAAATCGACGAACTAAGCGCTAGAAAGACAGGATTTTTAAGGGGCCTCACCCTTCCACCTCCAGAAGCAAGCCAAGATCCGGCGGGGCAGTGTTCTCCGGAGACGAGGAGGAGCACCGGAGCGGCGGCGCCGGGAGCCGGCGGCCGCGTCCCGCGGCGACGGCGGCGCGGAGGAGAGCAGATGCAGTGGCGGCCGAGGAGGTGGGGATGGAGGCGGGGGCCTTCGCGGTCTCCGGCGGGGACGCCCGGTGCGGGACGCACCGAGCGGCAGCTGCAGCAGCGGCGGCAGTCATGACGCGCGAGACCGAGCAGACGGTGGGCGTGTGGACCGGCGGCGGCGAGCTATCCCCCGCCGATGGGAGAGGACAGGGACAGTGATGATTGGTTTGTCCACCACCTGGGTGGATGGTTGGGTGGGCCCACAGGAACATAGTGGTTAAGCTAATCACCGTTGATGTTCATGTTGATGTTGATGGGTTCTGGCTTTCGGTTCTGAATGAAAACTAATTTTACGGCCTGCACCGTATCTAGCCCATTTCTTTGGTCCGGTACATCCTCCCTTCCTCCTCTCATTTTCCTTGAGAATATTTTTTCAGCTTTTTAAGATACGAGATTATATATCCATATTTCAATTGGCTCCTCAGTCTGTCCTGAAAAATACATATCTCTTTTTTAAGAAGTTAATTAATTTCAAATTTAATAACCAATTATATAAAAATATACTAATATTTATGATGCTGAACAAATATCATTATATTAAGTACGAAATATATTTTTATATTAAATTTATTTAGAGATATAAATATTGATGTTTTTCCCTACAAATATCAAATTTAATTTTTTTGACCGCTCTGAAAAAGAGATGTTCATTTTTTTATGGAGGTAGTATATATGGAATAGAGAAATTTTAGACCATGAAACAACAGCAGCTTAAAGTCACTGCAATTAAACTATTATATCTCGTTTGATTTATCTAGATCAAATGCGGGTAAATTGGACAATTAGGATGGAGCTTAAACTTAGAAAATTGACTAGTATTTTATTAAATTAAAAACAAAGAAAATTGTAAAGACCCAACTCCAAGCTGGCTAAGGATAACGTACTCATATTCATCTATATCTCACTTTGTTCAATACCCCATGTCTACTGGCCCACCTGAGTTGTTTACTAGGTTCACATGGTTTTATTGGTTCCTAGTAAGCTTTTCCTATAGTTTTATCATAGTTTAGCATGTTGATTTTTGAGACCAGCCCCATTTTCCTCAACTTTTCTTACCATTACCATCCTTGCCTATGTGGTTCTCATATTTGAATGAGCTTTTATACGATTATTTGTACATGGGGCATCTCTATTACCATCTCATGCTACATGGGATGAGTAGACAACCAAATATTGATGCCAATAAACAATTATATTTTTGTAAAGAAAAGAGCATGGGGGAAGGAAGACACATAAACGTTGCATATGCAAACTACTAAGTATGTGAGATGTAACTACGCATTTGAAACTACGAGAGAAACAACCTTTACAAAACCGCATGTCCTCAATTTGTTGTCACTAGTGTCGATATCTAGTGGTTCAATGGCCATAACACTAGACCAAAGGGCTAGAGGTAGAAATGGTTGTGATGCTACTAATCATAACTGGTTCATGCTATATAAAACCATTGTGATACCTTGGAAGACATCACAGCCAGTTTGTAACACAAATACGTTGTGAAGGGCCACATACAACACAACTGTTAAGTATTCAAAATCTTTTTGTAACCTATGTGCACGATCAGAACTAATTGGTGGTTCCAACCATTTGTGGAAAGTATATTTAATATTTCAGGATAATTTAAGACCTAGTTTTCCAAATAATACATTGGAAATAAATTGTTGTTTTGTTGATTTTGTAATAATTTGCTTTACAACTTTAGACTTTAGGATTGATCACTTGTTCCACTTCAAAGATAGTCCCAAGCTTCACTTCTCTGTAGAAAACCTAGTGTTTGTATGTTTTGTAGCGTTTGTCCTGGTTGATTGAAAGTTGAACTTATCATGTTGAGATGTAGAGAATACTTGGTACTATCGCTATTTCATATGGCTAATTCCTGAATATATTAATTCCATCCCAATAAATAGAAGACCAAATGAGTAAACATGAGTTAGGATTTAGTCTTTGGATAATTAGTGACTATGTCAATTCCAACACGAGAAGGTCTCTTTGACATTAATGTCTCTTTAAACATGCTTGTGAGCGGAAGAAAGTGGTATAAAAACACATTTTACTATCTGGTATGGAGAAGCAACTTGCATGGTAACTTTTGAGAAAAAAATATGCGGAAATATGTAAACTAACTATAAAGACACTTGCAACATATGCGTACTTTGTGCATTACCTCTCATAGTTTTGGATAAAAGTGCTTCAAGAGCAAGAACAAGATGTAACATCAATTAGTGAGTGGATTGCACAAATGAATGATGCCTTTTTAGGTTGGATTAGTAAGTAACACATTGATAACCCATAGCTTTCCATCAATAAATTTTAACTCAAGCCTTGGAACAGCAAGGGTAGTGCTCATTTTATTGTAGCTAGATCATAGCAAAGGGGAGCAGGCTATCATCCATGGACTAATTTGTCCACCATTTTTGCATAATCTATGGTAGACAGTGTCCTTGTTCTGGTGAAGTAAAGTTGAGCATACCGACTTTATATGGATAATGTGCTAGGATCTTAAACTGCAGATGTACAATATGCAGAGTATATCGCCGCACTTAGTCAAGTGTAGTGTTTGGACTTAATTTTAGGTTCTGTAAAACACCTGTTTATTATATTTATAGTAAAGTATGTCAACATGATGTAAAGTAAAACAATTATGCAGAGGTTTGTTTCTTGTTCGACAAGAGGATGTTACGTACTCTACATGTTTTTTTCTGCAAACTGGCTATGAGCCTATGGGTCTCCACCACCCCTCTCCACTTCAACAAATTAAACTAAATTATTACTTGAATTAGTCATTTTGGACGGCCGCTAGTACCATTTGTGGAGCTATAGTGGCTACAAAGCTGCATTGGAAAGTGATTTATTCCCGATTCATAACACCAACTAGGTGTGAAGCTCATAGTTTCATCCGATTCTTAGCAAGAATAAGAAGTAATAATAATTACTTTAACCTCAATTAAAAACCGAGCATGTCATTCCTTGTACCACATCGGCATGGTTACTACGCGAATAGAATCTGGTTCCAAAGGGGGTTATAAGCCAGTTGTAATGATCATTTCTCCAACAGTACCAATAGTATTTCACTACTACAGAATTTAACTGTAGGGGCGGCTCTAGAGCCTCTGTAGGGGCGGCTATGCCAACCGCCCTTCCCAGGGTGTTCCTACAGAGGGTGCCTCTGTAGGGGCGGTTTCCTGGCCGCCCTTGCAGTTCCTCTGTAGGGGCGGCTGGTGTTTTCAGCCGCCCCTGCAGTGCACTCTGTAGGGGCGGCTGGTGTTTTCAGCCGCCCCTGCAGTGCCTCTATAGGGGCGGCTTGTGTTTTCAGCCGCCCCTCATGGATTCTCTGTGAGGTAATGGTAATATCACCATACAGAGTGAACTTCTGTAAGGGCGGGCAGATCACCACCGCCCCCTATGTAGAGCCTTGTAAGGGCGGTTCAATCAAGAACCGCCCCTACAATGGATTTTCAGGCAAAAAAATAAATAATAATTCAAATTCAAATCGACCATATATATATATAATTCAAATTCGAATCAGCCGCATACAAATATACATATATACATCCACAAACACAAGACCATTAATTAGAACATCATCACAAGTCATAATTCACAAAAGTCCATCATTACAACATAGTCCATTATGAAGTCAATCATTATAACATAGTCCATTAAGAAATCCATAAGTCCACGTGCAAAACAAAGTCCAAACCGCTCCAAAGTCAGTCCAAACCATACCATAAGTCCACATTGTCATCAACGGCCTAGGGCTAGCCTATCAGTCTCACGAAGGTGTTGGTATAGAGGATTACTACCTAAGTCGGAAAGAAGATGATGGTAAGTGCCTTTATGGTACACAATCTGGTCCATTATAAAGTTGCAAAGGTCGCCGACCATCTCTAAGAGCTCGTCATCCTTGTATGGGTTCCTTCTCGTGTCTTTATCTTTCTCCAACTACAAGAGAACAAGTTTAGGTTTACTATATCACAACATATGCGAATTTTTTTCATACTACTGACGAAGAGGTTCAAACTTACCAGATTGGGATTTCTATTGTAGCCACCGATGGTACTCATCATAATACATGTGTAGTATCCACAATGTCGACTCCCAGGCTTCTGCTTGGGGCACTGTGTGTTTTGCATATGGAGACGTTAAGTAATACTATTGACAGACACGTAATATATGGAGTACCAAAGTAAATGACACTTACCGCACATAGAGTTTTGACATACAACTTTTCCTTCCTATTTGGATGATGCCTCCCCTTATGTTCCTGGACATAGTGCCTGAATGCCATGTTCCAATGGTTTTAGCAAATGCAACTTGTTAGTATCCCACATTGAACCTTACAAGTATGTATACAAACATAGTAGCTAAAATAAGGATTGTCGATATGTATACGTCTTGACAATCGCTATGAAGTCTTTGTATGTCTCGACTGGGGAATCCGCTGAATCAAAGACCCATGCCATGCTATGTGAGAGCCAGACGCCTATGCAAATCCAGTGATCGCTGCATGAATTTAGTCATAGAAAGAACACATAAGCTCTTTTGCATCGAACAAAGTATATTGAACAAAGCTAAGTATACAGTCGAACTTACTTGAAGTGGTATGGTATCCATATATTATCGTGTTGTTGGAGATTTTTAAAACATAGGGCAATGTATGCCGCAACCTTGAGGGACTCTTCCAATATTTTCTTGTTCCTGATATCCTCTTTTTCCTTAAGTGTCTTTCCACCTCCTAGTTCTTTGCAATCTAGTTTCCACTCTTTAGGGTAATTAAAATTTGTTGATGCTATAGGTGAAGGGTCTATATACCCGTGTTTCAGAGCTGGCCTCTTTCTCACAAAGTCCGCTTGCATTCTATAAATCACGGCGTGGGTTAGTTACAACAAAATCAAAAGATTACATTCATATCATATAGAGAGGGCAAGGACTTACAGGCACCACATGCGAATTAGATTCATTTCCATTCGTCCGAGGTGAAAGCATGCCTGGATATCCTTAAACTCAACGGCAATTTGCCCACCTGGGGCTCCAAATGTGCCAGCAGGGATCCATGCTTGTAAGATTTCTAATT